CTTCCCCACAGCACAGAGGAATAAACCGAGTCCGGTCCGCTCGTGAAAGAACAAATTTCAAAGGTGACCGAACTTGCACATATCACCCACCCCTGTTCCTGAGCCTGCATTTGTCCTCAGCATGCATGTTTGCTCCATGACTCCCAAAGACCGATTGGTCACTCCAACCATGTGCAGACACGCAATAGATCACTTGCTCCCCACGGTGGATTTCGTGGCCGTGGCCAACTCCCGGGAGATGTTGGTTCCGTCTCCGCGGCGGATTTTCACTGCGTGACTCGGATTGATGCGCATCCTAGTGAAGAGCCAGCCCATCCTCCACATTGTATGGACTTGAACTCCCTCTACGCTTCGTTACAGAATAGTATCTTACCGTTGCCACCGCAGCCTATGAGATTCCAGCTCCTCCATCCTTCTGAGGGCATGCAGTATCATTGAACCACCAGAGCAGTCCCCCCCCCGTCTAATCCGAACACACGCACTGGCTACCTATTTACGGGACCACGTATCAACCTGCAGACCGGAAGTGAAAGAGGGTCCTCCTTTCCGGGGACGGGGCTCGGAGAGAACCCAAAACCCCATGGGTGCTTACCACCTGTCGCCTGTGGTTTCACTCCACGTTTTGTCAACCCGCAGGCATGGCATAGCAAAGCGGACCAGAACAGAAAAACAAAGAGTATGTCGGAGACATGAGGCGGCCCTTCCCTGTTACCGCATTCGGAGAAGCCTGTGTTTTGGGTGCTGTCCGCATCCATGGAAGAGGCGTTTTGAATGGGGCCGTCCGGGATACAGCGGGTATTTATTGGCCTCGTGTGACTCCTTTCTTCACGAGTGCATGAACTACTCTATTGTTCGATGGTGTGGTGGGTTCTTCACTTGTTTGCGTTCGATGTGAGGCTGATTCAGGTGATCTACGGATTGTGTGGTGGGTGGGCACGGCATTGGTTTCTTGATTTTCATGGATTGAAAATCGCGTTGGTGTCGTTACTATTCGAAGGTAGAGTTGCAACTCGCGAAAGGGTACTTGGTTATGCTGATTGCGCATTCTAGGGAATAGCGATTTCGCCCTTGAAATGTCCACGATGGAAGAACCATTTTGAGATATGGATATGAGACGCTCACCACTTGTGAACCGGATCGCACAGCACTTGCCATGAGGGTTTCCACTGGCATAGAATATGGACCACTAGAGACATCAATTGCGATGCACGTGGATCTCCGATCTCGATTGTCATTGGTGATAGACATTCAGGGCTGAAGGTCGACTGAGCAACAGCTGCAGGAACTGGGGTATATTGGGAGGTGATATGCTTATGACATGTGGCCAATCCAGATGATGTAAAACTTGCTGACAGATGAAAACTAACTTAGGGGTTTCCCTAACTATGATCCAGAATTTGCCTTTATTTTTTGGGCTAGAACGCCTGCGCGGCCGATGCCAATCAAGGAAACCTTGACGGGTGCGTTTCACCTTCCATCGCCTAGCTCAACAAAACTCCAAGTTTCACAACTCATTCAAAGTGGCTGGATCTCTCGTTTGAATCAATGTCAGCTTGATTATGGTTAGATTCCATTAGCGTGCTCCAGACATCGACATCTCAACAGCGTTGTCGTGAGCGGGCTGAGCACAGCTCGGAATCACTCCGCTACGGTTACGATATACATAAATATGATATCTAAGCTCGCTTATCATAGATTTGAACCAAATTGGCATGCCGCTTTTATGCATCGTCTAAACTAATATGTGGATGGCGACAGCAGCGATCAATCAAGCAAGCGCTTGTGCGACTTAGCGTTGAATGCTGTCATCGGCCCCTGCGATCGTGCAATCAACATCTCCTTACTAACATGAACACTCATCGCCACAGAGATAACGAGAAGCCTGGTTACTCAACATCGCATGCCTCCAGACAGAGCGTTGTTGTTGTGTATGATCAATTGATACCTTAACCTCACTCATATTTTCGATATATGCTGCCTCGCAAGCCTTCAGAACCCAGCCCTAACTGTGCCTGGTGCCTGGGGTCAAGCAGATCGGCGCGGCCCGATATCCAGCTTCCAAAATGCCGACGTCAACCCACCTCAGCTTTCTTTCCCCGCGTTCTTAGTTTAAGCACCTCATTTACTCTAGCATGTCGCCTTCCATTGAGCCATGCAAGATGAGCGCATCCAAGCAATCGCGTCATCAAATTCTTCAATGAGCACCGTGTAGATAGCATCGCCGCCACCTCCCCTCCCCTTCAACCATGCTAATTTAATAACTACAATTGCTCCATCATAGACAAGATGTGAGCCAAAGGTCCGTCTTGATTGTCATCTTAGTCAAGGTTGATCGAATCATGGGTTTCAAAATATTCACCGAGTCGGCAGACATCGAGGCTGAGGAGCGCTCTGATGAGTTCAGCGTCATCAACGATGGCAACCTAAACTATACTGCTGCCGGGGGAGCCAATTCTTCCAAGTTGACCTATCAAGAAGCCAGCGGTGCTCCCATCGAGACCAAGTCTCCCTTGGGATACTCCGTAGGCGCGGTGACGGTGATTGGCCTCAACCTGAACCAAATGATTGGAACCGGTGTTTTCTCGACTCGTACGTTGACAATGCCACGATGCTTTTGATCTCAGCTAATAACATCGAAGCTGCAACGGTTCTCTCCGGAGCTGGCTCAGTGGGCCTTGCTATGTTTTACTGGGTGATTGGCTTTTTCATGGCCGGTAGCATGCTTGGAGTCTACCTCGAGTTCCTATCATACTTTCCAAGTCGGTCTGGCTCCGAAGTGGTGTACCTCGAACAGTCATACCCACGACCGAAATACTTCTTTCCTACCGTCTTCGCCATGCAGACTGTTCTCTTCTCCTTTGCCAGTAGTAACGCTGTTGGTATTTAGCCTTGGCAGGGAATCTTTTAGCGCAAGGGCTCATGATTTTCGCAGTGCTGGCCAACTATCTCTTCAAGCTCGCCAATGTGGATTCAACCGCATGGATGCAGAAAGGCGTCGCAGTGGCTGCGTACACAGTTGCCGTCCTTTGTTAGTTATCCCGGGATCATCTTCCCTAACATGATCCTCTAATCTTGGAATTAGTGCTGGCTTTTAACACGAAATGGTCGCTTCGGCTGACTGATGCCATCGGATTCGTCAAGACCATCACACTGATCTTGTAAGTTCGGCCTTTGTGTATCGGCGCGAAATACTGACCGAAACCCAGTATCGGAATCACCGGGCTCGTGGTCCTCGGCGGGCACACATCTGTCAAGGATCCTACCGTCAACTTTCGGGATGCCTTCGCTGGAACTTCGGAAGCGTCCGTATATGGTGCCACGAATGCCCTGGTCAAGGTCATGTTCTCGTACGCTGGCTACAACAACGCATGCAATGTGGCGAACGAAGTCAAGGTGCGCGGTCTGTTTCCGGGTTGCTCGGCACGATATATACTGATTCTGATTCTGGCTAGAACCCAACCAAAACGCTCAGCTGGAGCGCTCCAGCCTCGCTCTTCTTGGTCGCGGTGCTGTACATGCTTGCAAACATTGCGTACTTCTCTGTTGCGACCAAGGATGAGATTCTCAACTCCAGCACGGTCGCAGCTGGCCTCTTCTTCGAGAAAGTTTTCGGGTCGTCGGGGGCATCCCGGGCTCTCAACTTCCTGATCTGTCTCAGTGCCATGGGCAACTTGCTAGCTGTGCTCATCGGACAGTCTCGAGTGCTTCGAGAATGCGGAAGGTATGCTGCGTCAATAACTGTTCCATTCTCTAAGTTGAAGAAACCGCAAACTGACAGCCTGGACTAGACAAGGCGTCCTCCCCTTCACGGCATTCTGGACCTCAACCCGCCCCTTCGGCACCCCCCTGGGACCATACTTCGTGAAGTGGTTCCTCACCGTCATCATGATCCTGGCTCCCCCAGCGGGCGATGCTTTCAGCTTCGGTAGGCACCGCCCATTTACCACTAACCCCCCCCCCCAATCTGAATCATAAACGAACTAACGGCGGGCATCCACAGTTGTGGATCTGGGCGTGTACCCCAGCAACGCATTCAACCTCCTCCTCGCCGTCGGGCTGCTTATCACCCGCCGCCGCCGCCAGCGTCTGAACATCCCTTCGTCAGGCTACCAAGCATGGACCGCGACGGTCGGCTTCGCCATCCTCTCCAGCTTATACATGCTCGTGGCCCCGTGGTACCCGCCTTCCACCGGCGCGGACGGCGGCGACGTGAGTTTCTGGTACGCGACATACTGTGCCGTGGGTCTCGCTATGTACGTTCTGCCCCTATCTCCAATCTATCGAATGTCTAGCCACCACTGCCCCCCTTTCCATCCCCTCAAACAAGTGCTAATCGACCACAGTGTCGCCCTATGCGGAGCCTACTACTACATCTGGATCAAGGTCCTCCCGCGCCTCGGCCGCTACGAGTTCCGCCAGACCCAGATCCAGGTCGACGAGGACGCGACGGCCAATAAGCTGGTCAAGGTGCCCGTGGACCGGCTGGAGGAGTGGGATCGGGAGCACGATGCGCTGGGCCGAGTGCGGCAGAGGGCTGCTGCCCGGACGGCGTCGAATGAGACGGGGGAGATTGTGTATGAGACGAAGGCATGATAGCGTTCAGACTATCTGTCTTATAGGCTGTGCCTTCTGGGGGGGGGGGGGGGGAAGAGGGTGTGCTGCAGTGGGTAGTGGGAAGTGGAGTGGTTTTGACTGTATATACGTCTTGATGCTTGTATTTACGCAAAAAGTCTTTTCATGATGGTGCGTTCGAAACAATCATGAACCATAAGAAAAGAGCAAAGGATCAATCGATGTGTTCAGTCAGCAAGCATGGGTAGTGACCTCGGCACTTCAGTGACTACTAACGTCAAGCCTGCCTGCTGACCCAACCACGTACTCCTTCAACCATGGCCCAACAGGACAGAGAAAGACTACGCGACCCACTCCAACACGCCAAGATCAGAGATACATACACATACACATCCAGAGGTAAGAATTAGAATTAGGAACTAGAAACTATGATCATAAACACCATAACCCCGCCGAAACCGACCCAATCAGAAGAAAAGCCACATGCCCAGGCGCTTCACCTTCCCAAACAAACCCTTCTCCTCTTTCTTGAACCTCGCCAGGAACCCTCCTCCCTTTTCTTCGGAGGTCTGCGCCCCAACTCCGTCCGGATACCCAGCGCCCAGCGCCCCATGCGCCGCAACATCAGCATCAGCATCCTCGCCCTCGATATGCGCCAGGTTATACCGATCCGTAATCAGATCCATCTGGTCGACGCAGACGAACTTGGTGCGCTTGAACAGCTTCCAGCCGACGAACATGACAAACATGATGGGGAGTTCGATATAGTACGAGACGAAATCCACGGCGTGGAAGCTGGGGCTGAAGCAGGACCAGCCCTGCACGAGGATCAGGACGGCGTTGAGAATCACCGCCAAGATGGGGCCGACGGGGTAGGTCCAGTTCTTGTAGGGGAGGAGGTGCTCGAGGTTCTGGTGGCGGATGCCGGCGCGGAAGCGCAGGGAGGCGACGCCGATGAACAGCCAGGAGAGTTGGTTGGAGACGCCGACGATACTTTGGCAGAAGGGTTAGCATTGGAAAGGGGGAGGGGGGGGAAGAGGTGGGAGGGGGCTTACTTCTGAAGCCACGACCACAATTGGCCGGCGCCGATGTAGCTGGCGCCGAAGCAGAGTCCGCTAATCACCGAGGTCGCCAGCACGGCGACCCACGGGACCTGGAACCGGTTCAGGTGCCCGAATACCCGCGGCGCGTAGCCGTCGACCGCCAGTGTGTAGAGGAGGCGCGAGCCCGCGAAGAGCGCGTGGTTGGCGGCGGAGATCACGCTCGTCATGATCACCGCGTTGATGAAGCTGCCTGCCACGGTGCTGCCGGCTTCGACGAAGACGATCGTGAACGGGCTGGTGGCCGTCGTCTTGGAGGAGAGGCCCGGGTAGTTGTAGGGGACGTCCAGGCCGATCAGCACGATCGAGACGATGTAGAAGAGGACGATACGCCAGAAGACGTTGCGCACGACCCGCGGGAGCGTCTTGGAGGGGTTCTTGGTCTCGCCGGCGGTGATGGCGATGGATTCGGTGCCGCCGCTGCGGGAGTGGTTAGTCTCGCGTGGGCTAGAATTGCGCTGTGGCTGGGGATTGTATGAGGGCAAAGAGAGGGGAAACCATACTAGGCGAAAGATGCAGTGACGAAGACAGAGGCGAATCCTCCGATTCCACCGACGAACGGAGCTTCCCCGGTGTAGAAGAATTTGTTTCCGATATAGGTGTGATCCTTGTTTCCGCCGCAGTTGACAACGATACCGAGGATGATGAAGATCTATGGTTGAATTAGCACACTATCCAGTGCCTACCAGATGCTGCACCAAGATGAGCACCAAGATGAAGAACATACGATAATGGTGACGACTTTGAGCAGACTCAGCCAGTACTCGATCTGCAGCACAAACCAAAGTTAGCCAATGAATCAACACCGCATCCATGGCGAAACAAACCTCTCCGTAAACCTTCACAGACATGACATTCAGGAAGATCACCACAAACAGGAAAATCAGACTGATCGCCCAGCCGGGAAAGTTATCCGTCCAGAACTCGAGAACCAGCTGCAGAGCTATAATATCCGAGGCCGTGGACACAGCATCGTTGAACCAATAGTTCCACGTCAGAGCGAATCCCAGAGCATCATCGACGAAACGACTAAAGACGAAGCACCCCCAATCCTCTGTTAGCGTCGATTGCATCGCGCGCGCACCACGAAGGATGTAAGCGAACTTACCCAGCAAAAGTACAGAACGAGCCCGCGACGGGGATGAAAGCAGCCATCTCACCGAGCGACAGCATCGTCACGTAGACGATGGCACCGCAGATGATATAGGAGGTAAGCATGGACGCCGGGCCACCGGTGGCCAGCGACTTGCCCGTTCCCAGGAACAGGCCCGTGCCGATGGTGCCGCCGATGGCAATCATCTGCACCTGCCGCGCAGAGAGCTTGCGCGCCAGCCGATCCGCGCGGACGAGTTGCGCGTCTGCATCGACGAAGCCGCCAGATGCGCCGGGCCCTTTGGCCGGGGGAGCTCCTGCTTCGGCAGCGGGCTGCTTCTCGATGTCATGGGCTGCCATGGTTGTGTCTCAGGATGAACAAGGCTGTGAAAAGCTGTGACATCTCCATGTTAGTATATTCACAATGGCTGTAGGAGAAGGTAGGTAGGTGAGGTGAAGTGAGGTGAGGTGTTATAGTTGCTCACCGAGTATAGAGCAGACCAGCCCGTCCACCAATGACGATGGACTTCCCAAAGCAGTGCCTCAAGTACCACGTGACTTAGGAAAAGTGGAAACCCCAGACAGAACTAAGCCGAGAAGACCAAGAAAAACCTGGGCTAAATCTGCAGTCCAGATCGGCGTTTCAGCGCTATATGAACTGTTCAAACCTCAAACCTCCTGGGCAAAGACTCAAACCAGGGAAAAAAGAAGTACATCTTCAAGCCGACAGCTCTCGCACCGTCTTATTCTGCAATTGAAGTTTTTGCTGTTAGCGGATGGCGTGATTGAAAAGTCTTACGTAGCAAGAATAGAATTGGCCATCACCGTTGCAAATTGTTCGATGGAACTGCCGATGCAAAGCGGACTGGGACCCACTGCTCGGCTGTCAGCCACGTGATCGGGATTCCAAGATCAGATAGAGTTATCGTGCGTGTGCAGGGCAACTTTAGATACGAGCATCAGAGCGGATTGATAGGTGGATGCACTATATACATACATACAAGATATTAAACCAATGAAAATGCTTTTGAGATTATTCGCTATGTAACAACTCATTTAAGAAACAATATCAGACACAAGGATATACCCATTGCAGAAGAAAACCGTGATAACCCCCAGACAAACTACCCCAGCAAGCCTGCAGCCAACGACTCCAGATCCTCCAAGGTCTGGATCTGCTGTTCGGGCTCTTTCCGGGACTTCTTGGCCTTCTTGGACTTGGGCTCGTCGTCGCTGTCGTCGTCCATGAACCACTTCTTGGGACGAGGGGCCTCCTCTTCCGCCTCCGATGCAGAGAATCCACCATCCATGTCGCGGTCGTCGTCCTCCTTGTACGGAGCCAGGTAGGCCACTCTCTCCTCGCCCTGGCCTCCCTCCCCTGCCTCCGCCGCCAGCAGCTCGCGCTCGCGGGCCTTGCGCTTCTCCTTCTTCTCGCGCTTCTTCTGCTTAGCCACCTCCTTGTCCTCCACATCCGCCCGCCGCGTGCGCTCGGCCTCCTCCGCCAAGAAGCGAGCCTGCTGCTCCTTGGCATCGCCCTTGGCCTTGAAGTCCTCCTCGTCCTCCATCTCGTACAGCTCGTGGGCGTTGCCCTCGTCGTCGAAAACGAGTTTCGATCCCTTGCCCTTGAACTTGAGCAACTTCTTCTTCGACTTGAGCAGCTTCTCCCGGCGCTTGGAGTCGATGACCAACGCCTGCTTGCCATCCAGCTGGACCACCTTGGTCGGCTTCTTCTCCGCGCCTGCCTCGTCGTCATCCTCCTCCGAGCTGGATCCAGCGCCCAGATCCTTATCTCCAGCTTCGAAGCGGCGTTTGACGGACAGGAAGTCATCATCCTCATCGGCATCTTGCGTGGCGGTGTTGGGCTCGACCATCGTGCCGTCATCGTTGATGAGTTTCGAGTAGTGCTCGGCCAACACATCCTGGTTCCGGCGCTCGAACATGCGGTCATACTTGGTCCGTACTTGGGGCTCTTCCTTCTTGGCCTTCTTCTTCTCGCCATCTTCATCCGACTCGTCGTCGCTGGACGCGTAGGCGGCCAGACGGGGCGCGTTCTTGCGCTCCTTCGTATCCTCACCCTTGATGAATTTGATGCGGGGCGCACCAGGAAGACCCAGACTAGCCGCAAACTCCTCCAGCTTGAGATTCTTGACGTCGAACGTCTCCTTGTCCTTCTGAACGTAGATTGACTTGACATAGGAAATGAAGGCCTTCTGGCCCAGGTACTTCAACTCGGGGTCCTTGAAGCACATATTTTGCAATTGGTCCTTGATGCTCTGCTGCTTGTTTGCCTTCACGTTGATACGCTCGACTTGAACCTTCTTCTGCTCCAGACTCTTCAACATTCCCTTCTCCTCGCTGGGGTCCAGGAACAGTACCGCGCGACCGTCGCGCTCGTATCGTGCCGTACGACCCACACGATGGATGTAGGTATCGGCGTCCTCCGGGCAATCCAGCTGAATGACCCAGTCAACAGCGGGGAAGTCCAGCCCGCGGGCAGCGACATCGGTGGCAAAGAGCACGGCGTGTTGTGCCGACGAGAACCGGGTCGTGATATCGAGTCGGCCGCCCTGCTTCTGTCGGCCGTGAAGGTGCATCAAGGGAATACCGGGCTGCATGTGCCGGAAGGTTTCGTAAACGAACCGCACCTGCTTGCCGGAAGAGAGGAAGACAATGGTTTTGGTTTTCAGGTTGCTTCGGATGAAACTCCACAAGACATCGAGCTTCTGCGCGAGGGGAGTGACGACGTAGTGTTGTTGGAGTTTCGAGGGGGTGGCGGAGGAGGCTGCCTCGTGGACAGCCACGTATTCTGGATCCTGGAGACTCAGTCGCGCCAGGTCGGAAACCTTCTTTGTCTGCGTTGCGCTAAAAAGCAGCGTCTGGCGCTCCTTCGGGAGATGGCCGATGATCGCGTCCACGGTCTTCTGGAATCCCATATCCAGAATGCGATCCGCCTCATCCAGAACAAGCATCTGTAGGTTGTATGTATCGAACAAAGCGGTCTGATCCAAGTGCTGCAGCATCCGACCAGGCGTACAGACCAGAATGTTCATCCGTCCCAATCTCTCCTGCTCCTCACGCAGACTCTTTCCACCGATGACGAGACCTGCAGAGAACTGGTGGTAGCGACCAACTTTGCGGAGGACTTCGAAAATCTGGATCGCGAGTTCGCGGGTCGGCGAAAGAACGAGGGCGCCCAGGCCGTCTTGCTCCGCCCATTGTTTGCGGTAAAGGTTCTCGAGAATAGGGACGAGGAAAGCCAGAGTCTTGCCGCTTCCCGTCTTCGCGGCGCCTAGAACATCGCGGCCCTTGAGCGCATGGCTGATCGCACGGGACTGGATATCGGTCAGGGTCTTGTAGTGAGATGAGGCGAGTCCGGAGGCGGTCGGTTCAGACAGAGGCAGATCGGTGAATGATTTGATCGAGTCCTTGACATCGAGCTCTTCCACTCGCTGGATGAGGGAAGACAGATCGTCTTGGGCACGCTTGCGCTTCAAATTACCGGCCCGTTGAGGTGGTTTGCTTTGCTTTTTATCACGAGAACCGTGAGTCGGAGCCATAGTGGGCTAGTCTGGAAGATCGAATCCCACAAGTGCGTCCACAAAAAGCAAAGGGCGAGAACTGGTATCGTGTGGGAACAATAGTAATGAAACAATGATTTGGTGTTGATCAGAAATGCGAATCTCGGTCTCCGGGCGGTGAAGCAACTTTTTTTCTCTTTCTTCTTGGTTGCCAGGCGGGCGTTCGCCGATGACTCAGCCAGCGATAAGCCAATGCTTATCATCGATCGCCATTCAACTTGCAGACACACGACCAGTGCGACCCTAGGGAGAGCTGCTTGTTCTTGACCTGGGCCCCCGGAAATCAAGTATCATGGCCTCCGAGGAACAAGATGCGCTGGACGCTCTCGAGCGGGAAGCGTCCGATTTTGACAAGGTGCCTTCCACTACCCCCCCCCCCTCATCCCCATTGACAATCCCGTCGCTGACGCTAACTCCAATTGCAGGATGCAGAGATTGATCGGATTAGGAAAGCTTTTGTCTTGGACGCGTAAGTTGCGCGCATCGTACTGCAAGAGTTCATATTTGTCCAAGCGTGGTACCTAGACGCTAATCCGCGATGGTTGAGATAGATACGCCGTCCTCGACCTACAGCCGGGAGTCACAGAGAAGGATATCAAAATGTGCTATCGCAAAAAGTCCCTTTTGATTCACCCGGATAAGACCAAAAACCCGGCCGCCCCCGATGCCTTCGATCGTCTCCAGAAAGCGCACTCCGCACTCATGGACGAGAAGAAGCGCGAATACCTCGACGAATGCATTGCGGATGCGCGACGACTGTTGATCCGCGAACACAAGTACACCCTCGACTCCCCGGAGCTGAAGACGGAAGAGTTCAAGAAAGAATGGCGTCAGATGACGGTCACGGTGCTCTTGGAAGAAGAGGCGCGGCGGCGCAGGCAGGCCAAGGCCAAGCTGCAAGAGGAAGGACGCGAACGGCGCAAGGAAGAGGAAGAATTGGAGGCACGGAAACGAAAACGCGACCAGGACAAAGCCTGGGAGGATACTCGCGACGAACGAATTGGCAGCTGGCGCGACTTCCAGAAGGGACATAAGAAGGAAGGGGACAAAAAGAAGAAGAAGAAAATGAAAGTGCTGGGATGAACATGCTCCACCACGAAGCCGGATATTCAGCAAGCACCGGCGATTGACTCTCTGGAGTTTGAGAGCTTCAATTATGGGGACGATAGTATTAATGAAACCTATATACCATACTGTTTGCCTTCGGTGTTTGTGCTGTCGGGGTTTTTGTCAACCGCTGTACGGAGATACGTTCAGTGACTCTAGGTGAAATCCACTCAGCAGAGGCACCACCACCAGGGTGAGGCAGAGCATGTATTCATCTGATGTCCTTCCCTATGGATGGTCTATGGAATCGCAGGCTGTACGGAGTAGACGTCCCCGGAAAAGAATACAACCACGAGCAGCTGGAGCATAAACAAGGGGGTGTTGCTCGCCACACACTCCCTATTCGGCTCTCCGTCAATATCAACAGTCCTGGCCCAGTATATATGCCCGTGAAGACATGCACCAAAGAGAATACCCCTTCAATCAATCCATAGTCGGAACAAAGCGAATCAATTAATTGCACTGATATCCGATCACACGGCGATAAGAAGGCGGTGAGCCGCGGAGGAAGGAAGTTCAATGCGGGGGCCAGGTAGAACATTCCAGTTCAGTCCCAGCGGCAGTGGCAGTGGCAGTGGCAGTGGCAGGCAGCGTCACAGCCTTCCGCCTTTCTGTCCTCCCCCAAACCCTCAATCAATCAATTGACCGACTCGACTCCAGCCCATTGAACAATCACATTCAGGGGTTCGCAACTTTTTATCATCTACTTGCCATGCCCTAGCCTCCCTCTACATCCCACACACCTCTTCTCATACATTTTTTCCCATTGCATTGCTTCTACGTATCACGATACCTTACTTGTACTGAGACGGTACTAGTCCCCACGAACTTAGTTAGCCTAGGCTGGCACTCCGCGGCATCAACCACACCTATTTCGGCCGCCCTAAAAAGCAAGCTGATAACCACCGATCCCATCCCGAGTCATCGCTACCAAGCCCCTCCACCTCCTCTACCTCTTTTTTCGCCTTTGTCTCCTTACCCTACCCCCCCCCCCAAAAAGGCCCCAGAACCAAAACTATGTCCTCCGAACCGGCCACGTCTCAACCAAATGGCACCTGCGCAAGCGCACTGGCAGCCGCACCCCACACTCCTACGACATCCTACCCCGCCGCTGCGGCCGATGATGCCGAGCAGCAGGCGACAACAGAAGCCAACTCAATCCCCCTCAGGACCGACGCGACGACTACCAGCAAAGACAAAGACGATGATAATAACAATGACGATGAGAAAAACACCACCGCACCCCCACCCCCACCACCACTAACGACCACCATCGCCGCCCTGCACGACCAGATCCAACGCTTCCTCTCCGAATCTCACCCCGCGGACTCCCTCCTGGCCGCCGTGCAGAAGCAAACGCGCGTGACCCTGGACGTCTTCGCCGCGGCCCTGGACACGTTCCCGCTCGAGAACCTCTCCCTCTCCTACAACGGCGGCAAGGATTGCCTCGTGATGCTCGTATTGTTTCTCGCGAGTCTCCACAAGCTGCCGACGAGGACGACGACGAGCCAACAACAACAACAGACACAAACCACACAATCACAACCACAACCACAACCACAACCACAACCACAATCACAAGCACAAACACAAACAGATGCACAACCACAACCACAGACCCCGCCGACAGACAACACCAACAACAAACTCAACTCTCTTACCTCCATCCCCGCCATCTACGCCCTCCCGCCCGACCCCTTCCCCGAAGTCGAGGCGTTCGTCGCCTGGTCCGCCCGCCACTACCACCTCGACATGGTCAAGTACACCACCGACCCCCCGCGCACCACCATCCGCTCCGTCTTCGCCGACTACCTGGCCCAGCACCCGGCCGTCCGCGCCATCTTCGTCGGCACCCGCCGCACCGACCCCCACGGCGCCCGCCTGACCCACCAGGACTACACCGACAGCGGCTGGCCCCAGTTCCTGCGCTACCACCCTGTCATCGACTGGCACTACACCGAGATCTGGGCCTTCATCCGCCACCTCGGGCTGCAGTACTGCGCCCTCTACGACCAGGGGTACACGAGTCTGGGCGGCACCGCCGATACGCGGCCCAACCCCAAGCTGCTGCGTCAGGGGACGGAGTCTGAGGAGTCCGAGGCCGGCAGCGCCGAGCAGTCGCGGTATCTTCCGGCGTATGAGTTGACCGAGGACTTGGAGGAGAGATTGGGTCGCAATTGACGTCGGGTGGGCATTTGTCATGTGCATTCCTCGGGTACCGGGAGTCGACCGGTTCAGCGTGCATAGTAGGAACTTTGTGGGACGGATTGCCTACCGTCCTATGAAATTCATGGCATTGTCAAGGTTCTCACCGAAATGAGTTCGAGGGTAGGTGGCTCGCCTCCTTGACCCTTAAAGTTGATAGACACCAGCATTAGCAGTGCTGCTTGCTACGTGCAGGAGGACTTTGGTTTCGCAGTATCATTATCACTATTATTCCCAGCCTGTAGACTGCGTTGATAGTTTTATGGAGTCGAAAGGAGTAACCATGATTAGACACATACAGGAAGCCACTTTTCCACTCAGTCCCTTCGCTTCATGATCCCTTCACCCTTCTCTCCATGAGTACCAGAATGGCCAGGTTGTAAGAGATACAAACTCCTAAATCAGACATCATTCTGCTGAACATACAATCGTGGCTGTCGTCAAGAAATGAAGAACAAATAACACGCAAACGGCAAAAGCTCAAGAAGACGGACAAAAGCAATGCAGCAAACATTAAGGTGATATGACATCTGAAATGGATGAGGCAGTCGAGACTTGTATCAGTCATCCATCGTGGTTAACATGTGGATCTCTACACATGCAGTTAGAAAGGCGATACGTCTCAAAGGACATGGCGCATAGCACAGCCTTTCATGCCTCTCAAAGGTTGTTCGCCATTGAAGATAGGGAAAAATCGGAATCTTGAACAAAAAGAGGAAAGCGAGAAATAAAAGCAAGCGCACATTGCATGGGGAAGCAAGCGTATTAGGCACGGTTGACATTCAATGCTCAGATGACCGAGCGGGGTGAAGTCACAATAACCTCCTTGCGTGCTGAGATGGGAGACACGGAACCAGCCTTGACGTTGCTCTTGCGAGGGCTAGACTGCTCGGAGCGAGTCTTAACACAAGGAGTTGCTGGAAAGTTCATCTTTGAAGAACCGCCAGAGACGTTGTCAGTCCAGGCATTGCGTTGCCCTCGCCCGAGAGGTGTGTTCTCCAAGGCTCTTGGCCCGCCTTTGGATGACCAAGAGTTGAAGCGCACGTTCCCCGCCTGGCTCTTCATCAGGGGATACCTGCTTGTATCGTCAGCATGCCTTGGGAGGGAACAGAGACATTCAGTAACGTACGATGGGGAGATGGATGTCGCAGGGGTCCAGGTAGATCCCACACCGACTGGAGACACACCGACTGGAGAGGCGTAGCTGGCCTGCGAGTTGGGACTGATATGCGACACGCCCTGTTGAATACGGTGCAATGATGGCGAAGGGGTGGATCCTTGCACGACCTCAACCGAGTAGTTATACTCCCCAGCACGGTATGCGCGTCTCTCGTTGCTTTGCTGCTTGAGAAGCTTCTGGGCCTTCGTATCCGCAAAACGAAGAAGCAATTTGACTCCATCCTTGGAGACGACATTATGGAACTCGCCCAACACCTTCTCTGCAATGTCACGCGTTTCAAACCTATGGCTCAAAGTCAATCACGACTCGAGGCTCACGCCGCCGTTTCGAAACACTAACCGAGCAAATCCAACCTCCTTGCTCACTCCGGTTTTCTCATCGCGGCTGATCTTTTCCGAGACCACACGATATGGCTCGAAGTGACGACGAAGATCCTATGATAAAGTTTAATTAGTACAAGCTTCTTCTTTCGGGCACAAGCATTCTCACAGCCTCTGTCCACTCGATCGGAAGGTTTGTGCAGTAAATGTTGGTCGAAGACTTATCCTCTAGATCTTTGAGCCTAGAGTTGCGGGATTTCTAGAGAAATATCAGTGACCAGGTAGCAAATCCTTCGGAGAGACAACAGTACCTGAGCAAAACTGGCCTGGTAGCCAAGGTAGAAGAAACCGCGGATGCAGTTCTCGCAGGATTCGAAGTTGTAGTACTGGACGAATCCAAATCTGGAACACTGTTAGAGAGGATATCAGGACGAGAACACAGACAAACCCTTTGCAGAGGCCCGTGTCCAAGTCAACAATAGCTTTGCAGCGATCTATTTTTCCGAAGCGGGAGGCATAAGCATGCAGCATATCATCAGTCGTCTCCGGAAGAAAGCCTCGAATGTAGACATTGGTAATCCCCTCTCGATTCTCTAGACACTTAGCCAGAGTCAGATCAGATGGGTTTGTCCACATGGCGGGCACCGCTCGTGGGATGGGTGGATCTTGCTGCGTCAAACTCTCGAGATCCTGGAGAATATACCCCGTCGGAGTCTTCATCATCTGGAGAGGTAGACATGTCCCACTTGGCTGAGGAAGGCCATTGAATCCGAAATTCGACAAGCCAGGTCCTTCCAGACCAGCATTGGGGTTGTGAAAGTAGTCGCTCGGGGGAGTTGGCACCACCGGACAAGGCGGGGCCAAGCCGGAGTAGAGGCCATGTGCAGGTAAATACGGGCCCTGGTCAAGAGGCAGTCCGCTGAAGATAGTACCATTCGGCAGAAGAACAAATTGATTGTAGGGAGGTATCGCCATTGGCATGCTATTCTTGATCCCGTTGTACTTCGGTCCAGGCCTCTGGTTGTGATATCCCAGCCCACCGAAGAGAGAAGGCAAGCCATGAGAATCAGGCATCTGATTGGAATCAGAGACAGGAGGATGCATAGTAGCCGCCATCGGTAAGTTGACTTCTATCAGAGTATTAGCCATGGCCCGTTAGTAATAGAAGAAGAAGAAGAAGAAGAAGAAGAGAAAACAAAAAGCAGGAGTACTCACGATGATGGGTATAACAGCTCGGGAAATTCGGCGAGACAGAATCTAAGGCCACTGTGAGCATATGCACCTAGGTTACGGAACAGAAGAAGTAGTGTAATACCTACACGATAAATGGGCTGGTAAGGAAGAAGATGTCGGACGTGAAGGCAATGAATGACTGCTGGAAGAGGAGGAATTGGTGGGGGTCTTGGAGGAAGCGTAGGAGGAGGAAAAGGAGAGAGTCATGGGAGTCAAGCTGGGAGACATTGGAGGAGAGAGCAAGAAAGAGGGCAGAATGGGAGGAGTTGGCTGTTGCAGTTGCACTTGCTGTTCCTGCAGTTGCTGCAGTTGCTGCTCCTGGAGGAGGAAAGAACGCCTCAGGAGTCTATCGCAGGCACCGACACCTTCCCACCCTTCGCTCTCAGGGGAAGGAAGAGCAGCAGCCGTAGCAGAAGAAGGAGTCACGATCTCGTCAGTGACCTGCAGTTCCCGAGGAGTGACGGCTCCTGCCATTTTGATTAATTTAATCTCCTCGTCGATCGGCCTGCCACCATCACGCCAGGGAGGTAAAGCCATGACTGCAGTCAAGCTAACACAGACAGATAGACCACCACGGGAATTGCTTAGTTGAGTGTTGCGAGGGAGAGAGTAGAGAGAGATGGAGGGGGTGTGTGTGTACTGAGGAGGAGTGAGGAGAGTTGGGTTGGTTGCAGTGGAGACCAAGGACTTAAGAGTGAGAGATAGATTTTGCTTCTACTATGACATGCTCACTCATGGGCTCCATAAAAAGTGTTTTGCGCCCTACACGCGTCTACTCACTTAGCCTTCTTGTGGAATAAGAATGGACCAAGCATTGCAAGCGCTGCTCATGCGATGTTCCTTTGGATTGACATGGTACGACAGAATGATGAGGATAATTGGCGGACACCGTCCACTTCAGTCTGGAGTTGATCATATTATGACATCTATACAGTATGGTGGACATAGGTAAAAATCGTTCATTTCTGACTCACAAAGTAGTTGATGTCAGTATTTGGAGATTGTACCCTTAGTCATGGATCAGATGTCATCTCAAATCTCTCAGGCTTCTAGTGCAGTCGCCGTAAAGCCTCTATCATAACCTTGACTTCGTCAACATCCGTCGCCCCCACGGACTTGACAATCTCATCCTGTACACTTGGTTCGCAGGTCAAGAACCGTTCTATTAGTTCGCCGTCCACAAAACGATACGGTTCTTTGGCTTCGCGCACCATGCTGCGGAACCCACGGAACTCATTGAATGGAATGTTACCCAGAGACTCGACTTTCCCTGCCATGGTGGCTTGCAGACGCATCAGGAAGTCCTGATGTTGTGGGTTGATTACAGCAAATAGGTATATTGAGCCCTCGACCTGTTGTAGAGCAGTCAGAAGTCTGCACAATGATTAAAGTGGTATCGATAAGACAGGATGACATACCGTGCCCAGGAATGCTCGGGGAGTGACAGTTACACTCGCCAGTTGTTGTATATTGACAGGCCGGATTCGATTGACCATCTCCCCTAGCGAGATCTCACCGGTGACCTCTAACCTGCGCTTATCATCCTCTTCGACTCCGGTTCGATTGCGGCGAAGCACAATCAGGTTACCCTCGGCGTCACTCTCGAGGAAAGTGTCCTCCGCGATGCAGGCGACACCTGTGGCCCAGACCGTCTGGAAGTGGCGAGCGACCTCTGTCAAAGTGTCAGGGAGACCATCTTCCCCTTCCTTCCATTCTACCAAGCAGACACTCTTCATCAGATCTGCGACAGCGATAATATTGCCCGTCACCGTCACATCCACAGGCGCCGTAGAGGTCCTGTAACTGGCTAGTTTCTCCAGCTTCGTAGCTCCGAAATTGTTGTTGACTACCCTATAGACCACGACCTATTGATTGTTAGTATACGGGAAAAGATCGCTCACAATTGCCTTTGGAGAACTTACAGTCTTGACGAGAGCCGCTACAATCTTCTCACCTAGCATGGCCAATGCGCGACAGGCACCTTTCACAGGCAGTTCGGCTACCTTGGCCAATTTCCGACCATTGTCAACCTCGAAGACCAAGATCCGACCTCGAATCGACTCTTCTCCCTCATCGTCCAGGTACGCTGTGCCAACGATGAAGCGATCCTTGGTTACCTCCCGACCAGTTTCATCTTTACCTGCTGTGAACTCGGCACGAACAACGCTCTCCACTAACTCCTCGGGTTGAAAGTCAAAGGAATCGAGGCGTCGGAACAGAATCTCATCCGCAAGGACAAACCTGCTCTGAACCTGCTCTTCGCCGTCTTTCAAGTTGCGTTCGATGGTGCCAATGCCAAAAGCTTTTTCCGAAGGCGAATAAGCGACTCTGCGGGCAGTGGCACCCACTGGAAGGGTCTGAATCTGCGTTGTCCGCTCCGTGTCCACCAGAGCGATCTTTAGATCGTGGCGCGTGGCAACAGCGATAGCTTCGGGATATGCCTCAGAGTTAAAGTGGCATATGCGAGATGCGCCCTCGGAGTTCACAGCGGAATAAATAATGCGACCTTCAGAACCATATATAAGGCTGGGGTTCTCGCAGGTTGCGAAGACATTATAGAGCCCATCCCCTCTCGGGAGCTTCTTGAAGGTCGGCTGCTCAGAACCAAGGATGAGTTTGTTCATGCCTGACAAAGTGTAGTCTTTGGTATCAAATGAATAGGTGATAACACTACCATCTGCCATCGAAATGAAAAGAGTTGATGGACTGTTCATGAGGACATCCGCCACAAGGACAGAGCGAGGAAAAGCCTCGCCTGCAGGGCCCAACGATAGCGTGTGGAGGCCACTCAAGTCTTGCAGCTTCAAGACCGAGACCTTGGCCAACTGAGGGAATGCAACGATACAGGCATCAGTGGGGCAAGAAGGGACCGTGACACCAGAGATCTGACTGTCGGCGCCGAAGTCTTTTTGGGTCACTACCTGCGGTTCAGTTTTAAGTGCCAGGACGGTCACCAGTTCACCGCCAACAACAAGGACCATGCATTCGTCGTTGGTTGAAGCAGCAGTAATCACCAGCTGGTCAGGTGGTGTCCACTCGTATGTGACCATGCCACTCTCGAGATCAGCTATCAGGACTCTTTGTTCGGTGACTTGTAATATCCTGCCTCCAGGTAGATTGGCGGCGAGAAGTGTGTTCTCTGAGAGACTCAGGCCAAGGAAGCCGTCAAGTTCCTCCACCTCACCCTCCGGACTAAACTGGAAAACTCGTGTTTCATCCACGAAGGTGACAAGGAGAGTGTCAAGGAATCCACCCTGGGCGGCTACTCGCAGCCCCCACAGATCGGTGATGTGCTCCATCTCACCCAGCACACCCAATTCCTCCATGCCGACGCCGCTGCGCACGCTTCTGAGGGTTCCGTCGTCAAAGGCACCTGAGCCAGTGACAATGCGGGCTTGGCCAGAAGAGAATTCGTGCGTTTGGCTCTCATTGGTACGGTTCCCAAGGTCCATAATTGTGAAGTCAAGAATCGGTGCCACATTGGAGAGCGTCTGAATCACCTCAAATGACCCATTTCCGATCCGAAGTACTTGAGAATCACCTTGATGGGAGCCGACAAAAATGATCCCAGCCCCAAGGTACACTAATACGGATGCCCGTGATGTGTTCCCTAAGTGATCCAACTTCCAAGACTGGACCTGACTGTTGGAATCCAGAACCAACATAAGCAGAAACAATCTTCCGTAATCATCAGCCAGCAGCCAGCGCTGACTATCCACACGCTCCCAAGCCACGAACACAGTAGCCTCATCTAAAGGGCGAGACACGATCTCATTGCTGTCAGTATCAACATACTTGATCGACGTTTCGCCCAGGACAAGAAGACCGCCTAGTCCAGTCAGTCACATACCCTTTCCAAACCAAGTTATGCATGAATGGGGGGGAGGCACAAACCCAAAGGAGCGGGCACCGGTATGAGATGAGATGCTCCAAGATCGAGTTCCTCAGAAAAGCCATCTAGCAGCTCCTCAAACGAAGCATCCGCGCTCACGGTAGTGGTCGCCGCGCTGTAGTGCAACTCCCGGACCTTTAGTCTCACTTTTTTCTGATTATCCTCGTAAAGCAGCGCAATCCGGGGCAATCCTGACTGGACGTGCAAAAATGCCGAGGAGCGCACGAACAGCTCATCGATTCGGGTCGTTGTTGGCTCGCCAAGCTCACCAATGCGGGGTGCGTCTGGCCCTGAAGGCAAGGTGACCTGCCTTCCTCTCCTCTTACTGGGCAACTGCACGATGGGAATCACCGCAATGACGCCCTCATAGACTTCGAGCGTCATGAAACGGCCACTCGGATCGATCAAGCAACGATTGCCCGTCTGAGCCTCCCGCGAAGACGGGTCGGCGACATCCACATAGTTCCTCTCCGTGCGCACTTGATTCCTCGTACTGTCCCACGATAGTGTGCAGTAGGTGTAGCGGTCTGTGCCCACAACGAGGTGATCGGTGGACGAGTCGGCGGGAGCCGGAAGTCGGGCCAGCATCGTGACTCTGGCGAAGAGAGAGCACGAAGCGGCGAGGCTCAATCCATCGGGAGTGGGATTGTAGAATTCGAGTCGATTTGCCTTCCTGTCGAGAAATGAAAGACAATAGTTAGCTGCTGAACCGCAACGCAAAGGAACGTCTGAATTGGAGAAGCAAGGTCAACCAACGCGACAACCAGAACCTCCTCCTCCGGTTTCATGAACTGCAGCGTCAGCGCATGTCGTGTGCTGCTTGCCCGGTGGATCGGCACAACGTAGGCCATCCTGGCGGTGACACTATTTCTCGGCGCTCGGTCGAGGCAAGTAACTGATTGCGCTTTTCGCTGTGGGGACTACTGCGGGGGTATGATAACGAGACAAGCGACGGATGCCCCGGGACAGTGTGAGTATTCAAGCGAGCGTGGTGGCAAGGTCGGTGCTCTCAGAATTGTACAAGTAACTGCATAACTTTGCTGCGGGCTGAATAATTTAAATGCGGACGGGGGTGGAATTGCCAAAAGGCCAAGAGGCTGGAATGTAGGATTGGTGATAGTGAAATGACGATGGTCGCGGCGGGTTCGTCCCGTTCAGCAGAGGATGGGCTAGCCTCTAACTCCGTGTTATGCCCGAAGATCGGTCTCTCTCCAGGCTCGGACGGCAACCAGCCTACTCAAGAAACATCCTCTCTATTATGGCAGAATATCCAGATTACACTCGACTTTCGCACTTCATACTCGTCTACACTCCAATTTTTTACGCTTGGAATGACGACTGGCATTTAGGTCGATAAATGTAACAAACGGGGAAATCACAGGACCTTCCGAGGTAGTTCAAATAGAATATACAGTCAGTCACAGATGTTTCTCAGACTTGTGTAACCATGGGTCTCTATATAGCATTCTTGTGAATCATTTGTTGAAAGTCGAAGGAAGCTTTCATCATGATCTATCCTGGTTCCCTGCAAAATTCGATGACCGAAACTCGGCCGACACACCATACCAATAACTCTGCAGAACCAATTAATGCCGCAGAGAAGAACCAAACACTAGGCATACATGAGCCACGCCAAGCAACAAACCAAGAAATGCGGCGAAGTTTATATGCAAAGATCATCTAGACATGAAAAAATACGAAACAAAAAGTCGTATCGGAAGAAAGGATCACTATATCCTATGCACACCGAAAGTAATCATGACCACACATCTTCCTGGTAGCTACCGCTGCTGCGCATGTGCTTGACCATCTCTTCGCCCTTTTCGGCAGGAAGACCGCGCTGCTTGGCGATGATTTGACCAAGTACAAGGTTAACCTCACGCGCCATGTTCGCAGCATCACCGCAGACATAGAAGGTTGCCTTCTGC